ACACACACACACACACACATACACACACAATTATAGAGTAAGCGTGTTTTAAAAATTTGAAGTTTTTAAAAGAAGCCATTTTCGGTTTCTTTTCGGTTTTCGGCCAAGTGCATCCTAAATTTTCGGTTTCGGTTTCGGCCCAGAATTTTCATTTCGGTGCATCACTAATTAAGTCCAATGTTTTTTCAACATATTCATCTACATTTTATGTTGTTTCTCAGCAGATGGAGCTGCTCATTCACACTGGAGACACTTTAGTTTGTACCATGTGACCTAGTTCCACCTGCTGAGGCACAGAGGACCAGGCTTTTGCTTGGTACAGACCTATATTAGAGACAAGCCTTTATTTCTAATTTCCCCTGTTCCCCACTTAATACAAACTCAAAACATTCTTCATGTTTGCCTGTAGTCTTGATAAACACACCAGGATGTTCCTGTCCACAGCACATCAGCACAGCAGTAGTCATTTCAGGTGTTCAGTTGGACATGTTCCCTTTTTCCTAAAAGCACTGACTGGAAACATTATTTCCGTTAAAAAGAAGAACTCAGAACAGCAGGATGGTGCATACTGGTGAATTAGAGCTGTGGAAGTGGACATAATACCGGATTTACCACGTGAGCTGTTGTAGTGGGTAATTCTACCCACCATAATGTTATTTTTACCCTTTACTTGTTTGTGCTGCTATGTTGTTGGCAGTTGTTTGAGCCATTATTTGAATACTGGCTGTTAAATAAGAATTTGAAGTAAGTTTTGTGTTGTATTGGCTTTTTCATCTTCATTTGAGTTTCCTTCAAATAGCAGGTGAAAGTGATGCTATTCACCGACCAACTGCCTGGATGCTAGGCTTTCCCAGCCCCACCTGAATGCAACATATAATACCTGTAGTCATTGTTTAAAAATGAAATGAATTCATTGGCGGAAATCCTGAATCTCCCACCTGCCTGCTGAATTTCAGCCAAATCTGTTAGTAGCATTTGGAGACGTGTTGCTGACAGACACCCAGGAGTGAAAACACAGTCTGCTTCCAAGTTGCATATAGTCTGTAGAGAGATGCATCACTTGTCAGAAAACTGTTGGATCAGAGGAAAACAGAGCTGCTTGTTTACTGTCAATATTAAGTGATGCTGGTATTGCAAAAGAAAATGATGCGCACAGCTGCCTGTTTTATGTTTTTTACTGTGTTGCCTTGTGCCATCACCTTGATTTAAAAGTCTTTTGCTCCACATTACCCAGATCGTAACAACACAACGAAACACAAACTCTTTCAGTGCTGTTTGTGAAGGACATGCTTTTACATGGAAGGGTTGTAAAGATGCTAATGTAAGGCTAATAAACGCGTGACGATTAGTGGAATTAAACCATAATCTAATAAACATACAGTCATAACCACAACATTTCTGGTCATTAATATTTTATTTGGTAAATGCATCCTAAATGATGTGTGTAAAACCTAATATCATTTTCTGATTCCTGGACACTACTACATAGTGAGAAACACTAATCCAGGCCTCTAATGGGCTCTGCTGGTAATGGATCACTATTCACTTCATGTATTATTGCAACCGTTTCCATGTTCATTAAAACGGATTTCTGTCAATCCGATTCCCTCGAAGAAAGGTGTTGGCTACAGAAAAACATGTAAATAACGATTTTCATATCTTGAAATCAGATTCGGTTTGGTGGGTGAGATATTGCACATGGCCACAAGGATCAAGGAAGTTGTGTTGTGTGTGGACAGGAAATTAGTTTATTGACCATGATTCTTTTTCCACAGTTTTATCAATAAAACCCAGAGGCACCGAGCCAAAATCACGTCTAATGGATTCATACATGAGTCTATTACTGTTTACTTTTTAATGTGAACACACACGCACGCAAGGAAAACAGTGACAAATCGAACACTTTCTTAGATGTTAGCCAGCTGCCTCTTTTTTTCCCCTCGTGTTTTTCTCATATACTCATTTGCCAAGTTTGAGTCTAGTGGATGCTGCTTCCTGAACTTCAGAAGTTTGTTTGTGGATTAGTCTTCTGTGTACATGTACTAGAAAATGTGCTAGTATTGTTGCATCACTCTCCAGTGTGAGTTGCTTGGAATTTGCATACATACTAGGGGCGTAACCGTTCACAAAGATCATGGTTGAGTGCATACCTCCGCATTGAAGTCACACAGTGAGGGTAAAAAGAAAAAAGTCTTAAAATTGCTTGTCATTTATTATTAACTGCTGTAAACATCAACAGTTTATAATAAACAAATTCAAATGAAGCATATGTACATTTATGTGTGCAGAAAAGTATAAATTCAGTACACACAGACTGAAGTAGTTTAAGCTGTTGGGCCTTTAAATTGTGATGATTTTGGCCCACATTTAACAAAAACCCACCAAGTCACTATCTCAATAAATTAGAATACCTCATAAGACCTATAAAAACCATTTTTAGTGAATTGCTGGCCTTCTGGAAAGTATGTTCATTTACTGTATATGTGCTCAGTACTTGGTAGGGGCTCCTTTTGCTTTAATTACTGCCTCAATTCGGCGTGGCATGGAGGTGATCAGTCTGTGGCACTGCTGAGGTGGTATGGAAGCCCAGGTTTCTTTGACAGTGGCCTTCAGCTCATCTGCATTATTTGGTCTCTCATTTTTCATTTTCCTCTTGACAGTACCCCATAGATTCTCTATGGGGTTCAGGTCTGGTGAGTTTGCCAGCCAGTCAAGCACACCAACACCATTGTCATTTAACCAACTATTGTGCACCCCAAACCATCACAGACTGTGGAAACTTAACACTGGACTTCAAACAACTTGGGCTATGAGCTTCTCCACCCTTCCTCCAGACTCTAGGACCTTGGTTTCCAAATGAAATACAAAACTTGCTCTCATCTGAAAAGAGGGCTTTGGACCACTGGGCAACAGTCCAGTTCTTCTTCTCCTTAGTCCAGCTAAGACGCCTCTGACGTTGTCTGTGGTTCAGGAGTGGCTTGACAAGAGGAATAGGAATGGAATGGAATACGACAACTGTAGCCAAATTCCGAGACACGGCGGTGTGTGGTGGCCCTTGATGCCTTGACCCCAGCCTCAGTCCATTCCTTGTGAAGTTCACCCACATTCTTGAATCGATTTTGCTTGACAAGCCTCTCAAGGCTGCGGTTCTCTCGGTTGGTTGTGCATCTTTTTCCTACCACTCAACTTTCTGTTAACATGCTTGGATACAGCACTCTGTGAACTGCCAGCTTCTTTGGCAATGAATGTTTGTGGCTTACCCTCCTTGTGAAGGGTGTCGATGACTGTCTTCTGGACAACTGATCAGATCAGCCGTCTTCCCCATGATTGTGTAGCCTAGTGAACCAAACTGAGTGACCATTTTGAAGGCTCAGGACACCTTTGCAGGTGTTTTGAGTTGACTAGCTGAGTGGCATGTCACCATATTCAAATTTATTGAGATTGGTGGGTTTTTGTTAAATGTGAGCAAAATCATCACAATTAAAAGACCCAATGGCTTCAACTACTTCAGTCTGTGTGTACTGAATTTATATAATACACGAGTTTCAGTATTTGAGTTGAATTACTAAAATAAATGGACTTTTCCACAATATTCAAATTTATTGAGATGCACCTGTAAATAACATATATAAAAATAAAATACAAGTTGTTGCAAACTACTATAATAACTGCTCCGTTAACAAGGGAAATCTAATTAAACGATGGAGGAGGTAGCGTTTGTACTATGCACCTCTTTCCTTGCAGCAGTGATATTCGTGTTTGCTGTTACAAATGAGCTAAAATGTTTGATGTGTTGCCAAAAATGATCACCACTGAACAAACATAAGTGGTGGATCAGAGCACAGTAAACAAATATGATGTCTTATCCACTTGCCTTTGCCTCTTGTTGCATTTCACCAAGAAGTTTTCTCAAACAGGAGACATTGATGATAAGGAGGGTCTTTGAGCTCTGGCTTCCCACTTGTACTGGTTATGACGCTCACTAGCCCGAGGCTCGACTAAGATAAGCTAAGTGTGCTGCTGTCTTGGTTATAGTGCTGTGGCCCACCACTTCCTGTGGATACGTGGAAATGCAAGCGTGTGTACCGTTACACCCCTAACACAAACACAGATAACAGGATTGCTTAACTTAAGATCATATTTAAACAATATTAATAACAGGTGTCAAAAGTGTAGAATACCAATTTCTGAAGGGGTGCTGTGCAGTTGCTGATGAGCTTAAGCACGTGGGTGTGTGTAGATACTGTACGTCTGAGTAAAACACCCACATTTTGCCCCTTTCATTTGATTTTTGCCTGTATTTTCAAACTGTTCTCATCAGAATATCCCTGTTCAGAGCTGTTCATTAAGAAGCAACAGAAAAACAGTTGCTTTTTTCAGTTTAGTCGTGATTAGAAATGTGTTCATATCAGCTTATGTACAGTGCCTTGCGAAAGTATTCGGCCCCCTTGAACTTTGCGACCTTTTGCCACATTTCAGGCTTCAAACATAAAGATATAAAACTGTAATTTTTTGTGAAGAATCAACAACAAGTGGGACACAATCATGAAGTGGAACGAAATTTATTGGATATTTCAAACTTTTTTAACAAATAAAAAACTGAATAATTGGGCGTGCAAAATTATTCAGCCCCTTTACTTTCAGTGCAGCAAACTCTCTCCAGAAGTTCAGTGAGGATCTCTGAATGATCCAATGTTGACCTAAATGACTAATGATGATAAATAGAATCCACCTGTGTGTAATCAAGTCTCCGTATAAATGCACCTGCACTGTGATAGTCTCAGAGGTCCGTTTAAAGCGCAGAGAGCATCATGAAGAACAAGGAACACACCAGGCAGGTCCGAGATACTGTTGTGGAGAAGTTTAAAGCCGGATTTGGATACAAAAAGATTTCCCAAGCTTTAAACATCCCAAGGAGCACTGTGCAAGTGATAATATTGAAATGGAAGGAGTATCAGACCACTGCAAATCTACCAAGACCTGGCCGTCCCTCTAAACTTTCAGCTCATACAAGGAGAAGACTGATCAGAGATGCAGCCAAGAGGCCCATGATCACTCTGGATGAACTGCAGAGATCTACAGCTGAGGTGGGAGACTCTGTCCATAGGACAACAATCAGTCGTATACTGCACAAATCTGGCCTTTATGGAAGAGTGGCAAGAAGAAAGCCATTTCTTAAAGATATCCATAAAAAGTGTCGTTTAAAGTTTGCCACAAGCCACCTGGGAGACACACCAAACATGTGGAAGAAGGTGCTCTGGTCAGATGAAACCAAAATCGAACTTTTTGGCAACAATGCAAAACGTTATGTTTGGCGTAAAAGCAACACAGCTCATCACCCTGAACACACCATCCCCACTGTCAAACATGGTGGTGGCATCATCATGGTTTGGGCCTGCTTTTCTTCAGCAGGGACAGGGAAGATGGTTAAAATTGATGGGAAGATGGATGGAGCCA